TTTCTGTCTCTATGTCTCTCTCTGTCTGTCTGGCGAGCGCATGCGCCCTACAGTGAAAATCTCTCAAAAAAAAAATATATATCATTAGATAAGCTATAAAGCTATGAGTTTTTGTGCTGAGTGCTTCTCTGGCCTCAGGGAGGTTGGATTAAATCCCCTCTAAGGTCCTCTGCAACTCTGTTAGTCTGTCATTTTTTAAAATAATTATTTTATTTAACTTTATTTACTTATTTATTTTAATTTGAACAGAGAAGGGCAGAGCAAGAGAGAGAGAGAGAGGGAAAGTGAGAAAGCAAGCCGCCAGGTCCAGGACTCGAGTCACAGTTGGCCATGCGGGATTCCAGCGCCCTTAACCACCATGCCACCTGCAGGCCCCTAGTCTGCTATTTTGACTCTGATCATCTCAATCTCTCTAAACCCTAGGGCTGAACCCTCCCCTCCGTCCCTGCCATTTCTTATGCACCCTGTGGCCTTGTTCATACCCACCGGAAGCCTGGCCAAGGCAGGAATCGCTCCTCTTCTTTCTCAACAGCCCCACCTCCTCTCCTCACCCCTACCCCCAAAATATTCCTTTACCTACTCAGCCCTTTGGCCAGTGCAGGCACACACACTCCTAGCTCACTCCTCCTCCTATACACTATGCCTCCCACAGGTGATCCCCACCACAGCTAAGAGCAGCACCGTAACCAGCCTGCCTCCTCAGAACCCTCTTCAACACTCCTTCCACCCAGTACTCTCTCATCTGGCCCTCTCTGCTCCCCTAGCCCTCCCACTTATCCACCTCCATGGTAAGGGCTCTTTCAGCTATGCCTCTGGTCCTCCAGCCTGGGAACTCCTGGACACTGAGGACCTGGCTCAGGAGAGAACAGGAATGGACCAGTGCAAACCAATCAGATGCCAGCACATTCGCTTTTCACATATGGGAGTAGGAGGAGGCACTTTCTTAGGGACGAAATTATCTTCATTTACTGTAGGTTGAGTATTCATAATTGGGAAATATGAATTGCACCAAAATCCAAAACTATGAGAACTAACACAATGCACCAAGTGGAAAATACCACACCTAACCTCATGTGACAGGTCATAGTCAAAACAGTGCAATAAAAAAATATCATATGAAATTACCTTTAGGCTATGTGTATAAGGAGCATATGAAATAAACAAGAGACTTCAAAAAAATCATGGAAAAATGGAATGAAAGTATGAGGTTAAGGGACCAGCAGATGGCGTAGCGGTTATGTTGCTGGACTCCCACATGGATGACGGCAGTTCGAGTCCTGGACCCAGTGGCTTGAAAATCATGCTGGGCATGTGTGCATGCGTGGCCAAGATACTAGGAGGATGAAGGAGAAGTGACTGCAACATGGCTATGCCCCCTGGGGAAGTGATTTCTCACTCTCCCTCTCATTGTCTCTGTCCCTGTCTCTCTTTCTAGTTAGCACACATGTCCTAAAGCAAAAACCTCTAAAAAAAAAAAAGTGTGAGTTTATTTTGGTGCAAAACATTTTTGAAATCCATTCATAGTTTTATTCATGATACACATTTTCCATGAATTCATTAAAGATCCTTTGTAAATAAATTTCCTTTAGCTTTTGGTCCCACCCTCAAGTTCCCCCTTATGTATACGCAAATGTTCTAACATCCAAAATCTACAACACTTCCAGTCAGAGCATTTCAGATAAGGAAAGGTCTCCCTCCCCAAATCCTGGTTACTAGGAGCTCACTTTATCCCTCATCTGTTAAATCCCTTCCTTCCTCTCCTCACCATAACCCCCCTCTCCTCTTCATCTTTCTCGATTCTCCACTCTTCCTCCTAAATGACCCAAATCAGACACTAAATCCCCCATGCTCTCCGCCTAAAACTTCGTGCAGTTGGAGCTGACTGAAGGCAGGGATTATTAAACAGGACAGCAGCACCAAGGGCTTTGCCAGGATGTCAGCTGAGCCCACACAGCGCAATCTGTGAGACCTACTTAAGGACAGTCACTCTGCTTTTTAGTTTAATTTTGTATTTTTTTTTGCAATAGGGTGCGCATGCTTGCCAGAGAGAGAGAGACAGGGAGAAAGTGAGAAATTAACCCCAGGGGGGATGAGCATGCTGAAATCCCTCCTCCTCCATTCTCATCTCAGGATTTTGGGTACGCACATACACGTACCAGGTGTGAATTTTAAGCCACTGGGACTCGAACCACAGTCAGCCATGTGGAAGTCCAGTGACTCAACTACCATGCCACCTGCTGGCCCCAAGGGCCGTCACTCTTACTCTGTAGAAAGCTCATGACCTAGTGGAAAAATCAGACAGACTTGGGAAATGAACTAACTCAACACTAATAACCACAGACCTGCATGGTAACAAAGGGTGGCTGGTGAGCTATCGCTGACAGGCTAGGGAAACGCAGAACTCCTGGAGGCCTGGGTGCACAATGGGCAAGAGGCACGCAAGGTGGCAGAGTACGAGAAGCAGCCCAGGTGCTTCCACGTGTCCAGCTGCTGTCTGTAGACAGGAAGCACAGGAAAGGGCTTGGACACACAGGAGAAGGCCACCTGGACTTAAGGCCATGGCATTAAGAGATCAAGGAGACCCCAGAGGGCTTGAAGATCAGGCTTATTTGGGAGAAGGGTGGAGGGACTCCAGTCTTACCTGCACGCGAGTTCGAATAACATCCATGGGATTGGTGAGGATGGTGGCAGTGGCAGCAGCCAGGGGCCCCGAGATGGCTTGAAGGACGATGTGAGGGCAGTCCTTAGGACACAGGTACGAGAGCTGCTCTGGAATCCAGGGAAAGACAATGCCTTAGGACACGCGGTGCCACATGTCTGCACTCGCCATGTGTGCTGCTCCTGCCAACTGGCCTTCCCAACCATGACAAACCCTCTGTCCTTGCCACCTTACACCTGTAACTCCCATCTCTTCTGTTTCCATCTGCAGCCAACAGAAAATTATGGGACCAACAGTTGGCGTAATGGCTATGTCGCTGTGTGGGGGCAGTTAGTCATGAGCGGGCAGCCCTAAAGAGAAAAGCGAAAGGGCATTTTGGTCAATGCCCTAATTCCCACTAGGGCAATAAGCTAATTAGGCAGTATAAAACAACCTGACTCATATTGGGCGTGTGTAATTAGGTAATCACATTCCTTTTTCTTTACCTGTGAGAAAAGTACGCAAGTGCAGGAGAAAATGCGGGATTTGAATTCAAACAAAGGACATAGGTAGTGTAACAGACCTCCCACCAATAAATATTCATGACCTCTAGTAATAAAAGCATCGGTTAACCAGTACCAAGCACGCCTACCACCTGGCAATCTGCCCACCCAAGAGCCTTTTGGGTGTACTTTCCTTTCTTTCCTATTAAATCTTCTTTTCTACCTACTTCATTCATGGTTGCGGTTTCATTTTGCACCTAGGGACAGACCTCTAATTTTAGTGATCTGGACCCAAAGAACTAAAGACTTCACAAGGCAGTTCGACACTTTCTCATCCATTAACAGCTGGACTCCCATGTAGTCAACCGAGGTTCGAGTCCCAGACCCGGTGGCTTAAACTCACGCCGGGCGCGTGTGCGTGCGTGTCCAAGATCCCGAGAGGAGAATGGAGGAAAAGGGATTGCGGCGTGGCCATCCCCCCTGGGGGGTGATTTCTCGCTATCTCTCTGTCTCTCTCTATCTTTCTGGGGAGCACATGTGCCCTATAGCAAAAAAAACTCTCAAAGAAAATTATAATACAAATTTCAAGTCCCACCCAGAAGACCCTAGGTGATATCATCCATTTAAACATGGTAAGAGTCCTCTGGAGGAGGCTGCTGGCATGGTGGCTAAGTTGCTGGACTCCCACAGGGCCGACCACGATTCAAGTCTCAGATCCACTGGCCTAAAAATCACAGCAGGCTGGGACCAGCAGTTAGCATAATGACTATGTCGCTGAACTCCCATGTAGCCGACCATGGTTCAAGTCCTGGACCCGGTGGCTTAAACTCACGCCGGGCGCGTGTGCGTGCGTGTCCAAGATCCCGAGAGGAGAATGGAGGAAAAGGGATTGCGGCGTGGCCATCCCCCCTGGGGGGTGATTTCTCGCTATCTCTCTGTCTCTCTCTGTCTTTCTGGCGAGCTCATGGCGCCTTATAGCAAAAACCTCTCAAAAAAAAAGAAAATCACACCAGGTGTGTGTGGGTGCACGTTAAAATCCCAAGAGGAAAATGGAGAAGGGATTGTGGCATGGCCATGCCCCTGGGGGATGATTTTTTACCTTTCCTCTTTCTGTTTCTCTGTCTCTCTCCAGCAAGCGTACATGCCCTAAGGCAAAAACAGACACAAAAACAAAACAAACAAACAAAAACAAACTTCTCTGGAGAAGAGGATGTCAAAGCTTCTTGCCTCCTGATTCCTTTCATGTGATGGAAAGAAAATCCTATCTAATGCAAAAACTGTATGCCTCTTGCTTCACTCCTCCCAACTCATGAGTTAGGAAAGAGAGCATTACAAATTTGCTTATATATGCACAGAATGACTCTGGTAGGGAACATTAAAAAGTGATGCCGATTGTCTCTACGGAAGGGACTTGGGTAACTTCACTCTATATTGTTTACTTTTCTTCTGAAAATTAAAAATATATATATTTAATTTTATTTATTATTAGTTTTAGAGATCTTTGCCTTAGGGTACATGAACTCACTGGAGAGAGAGGGAGAGACAGAGATTCTGAGAGAGGAAGTGAAAAGTCACTGCTCGGGGGATGGCTATGCTGCAACCCCTTTTCCTTCATTCTCTTCCTGGGATCTTGGGCATGTACGCATAAGTGCCCAGTGTGATTTTCAAGCCACCGGGTCTGGGACTTGAACCACGTGGGACTCCAGTGACATAAGTGCTATGCCATCTGCTGGCCCATTATTACTATTTTTTAATTTGACCAGAGAAAGAGAGCGGGAAAGTGAGAAAGCTGCCGGGTCTGGGACTCATCCTGCAGTCAGCCCCGTGGGAGTCCAGTGCTTCGACTGCCACACCACCTGCTGGCCCCACTTCTGAATTTTGAACTAAGTGGATTTTATTAATTTATTTTAATTTGCCAGAGAGAGGGGGAGAGAGAGGAAAAGTAAGAAAGCACTTGCCGGGGGAATGGACATGCCATAATCCCTTCTCCTTTCTTCTCCTCTCAGGATTTTTTGGGCACGCACGCACATGTCTTTCAAACCAATAGGTCCAAGACTTGAACCACAGTTGGCCATGTGGGATCTAGCCTCCTTAACCACCATGCTATCGGGTGGCCCAAGTGGTTTTTGTTCTGTCTTTTTAAATTTGCTGGAGGGCATGTGTGCTTACCAGAGTGACAGAGGAAAACGAAAACACTCTGGAGGAATGACCATGCCGTAGGCCCTTCTCTGCTCCTCTTGGGATTTTAGGCACGCACACACACCCAGTGTGCTTTTCCAGCTGCCGGGGATGGCACCTGAACCGCATAGAGGGCCATGTGGGACCTAGCTGCCGTAAGTAACATGCCATCTGGCTGTCCCCCAAGTGGATTTCTTTTAAAAATTATTTATTTATTTATTTTCCTTTGTTATTGTTATTTTTTTTTTTAATTTGGCAAGAGAGAGAGAGAGGGAAGGAGAGAAAAAGGGAAAGTGAGAAAGCAAGCCACCAGGTCCAGGACTTGAACCATGGTTGGCCATGTGGGAATCTAGCGTCCTTATCAACCACACCACCTGCTGCCCCCCCAAGTGGATGTTTATAAAATAAAAGCCAGGGCCGCCAGCAGGTGGCATGGAGGTTAAGGGCACTGTACTCCCATATAAATAAATAAATAAATAAATAAGCTAAATAAAATTATTCTTAAAAAAAAAAAAGCCAGGGCCAAATGATGATGCAGCAGTAATGCAATGTGCTGAGGTTCTCATCTGGAGACCTTCCTGAACATGTCGGGGACGCATGTGCCCATGATCTGGCCAGAGCTGGAGCTGGAGCTGGATCGGAGCATGGAGACTCTGTTGGGGGTGCCTATTTTTCTATCTCTCTCTCTCTCATGTATGGAAGAAATTAATTTTTTTTTTTTCTTTAAGAGAGAGATTTTTGCTATAGGGTGCCTGCACTTGCCGGAAAGACAGAGTTAGAGAGACAGAAAGCGAGAAATCACCTCCCAGGGGGAATGGTCACACTGCTATCCCTTTCTCCTCCATTCTCCTCTCAGGATTTTGGGCACGCACACATGTGCAGCCAGTGTGAGTTTTAAGCCACCAAGTCCAGGACTTGAACCCAAGTCAACTATGTGAGAGTCCAGTGACATAACCATTATGCCATCTGTTGGTCCCTAACTAATTAATGTGAAAAAGAAAGTCATATCCTACAGTGAGAATTTTTCTTAAGCCTGTATCAATACAGAAAGATTCGGCGTGGCAGAGGGTGTAGTGGTAAGGCACTAGGACTCCTGCGCGACCAACCACAGTTCAGCCTGCTTTCTTTTTTCTTTTAAGTATTATTTACTTATTATCATTATTTTTCAATTTTGATTAGAGAGAAACAGAGCAAGCCACCAGTTACAGAATTCGAACCACAGTTGCCCATGTAAGAGTTTAGCACCCTTAACCACCACATCACCTGCCAGTACTGGTGGCTTGCTGTCTTACTTTCCTTCTCTCTCCGATGAAATAAAAAAAAATAATCATAATGATGAAATGATGAATAAAATTAACTAACTGTTAAGAGGTTTTTGCATTAAGGTATATGTGCTCACCAGAAAGAGAGACAGCAATACAAAAAGTGAGAAATTACCCCCCATGGGGGATGGCCAACTCAATCCCTTCTCCTTCATTCTCCTTCAAGGATCTTGGGCACACATATGACGGGCCAGCAGATGGCGTAGTTGTTACATCACTGGACTCCCATGTGGCCGACCATGGTTCGAGTCCCAGATGCGGTGTCTTAAAAATCACGCCAGGTGTGTGTGCGTGCCCAAGATCACGGGAAGAGAATGAAGGAGAGGGGATTGTGCATTGCCATCCCTGCTGGGGGGCGATTTCTCGCTTTCCCCCATGCTATTATCTGTCTGTCTCTCTGGCAAGCGCAAGCACTCTAACGCAAAAGCTCTTAAAAAATGAAAAAAAGGCAAGGTAGAAGAGGATGTTCTTTCCAGAAGGTGCAATTTGCACAGTTGAGGATGGGAGCCAAGTGGACGTGTGCAAAGAGCTGTCCAAGCACAGGACGACCCATACAGAGCTCCCGAGGTAAAGCATGCCTGAAGCACTCAGAGGGCATAACCCGGAGCAGAATGAGTAGAGGAAGAGCAGCAGGTGAGATCCAGGAGATAAGTCACCTACGGCCTCAAGGGCACGGCCTCAAGGGCACTGCGAGGACTCAGACTTACTCTGCGGGAGATAAGACGGAAAACAATTCATCACAAAAATGCCCTGTTTTCTCCTCTCACTGTAATCACCACAGCTTTAAGGACTTCTTCCTGTGCTCCTGGCTTAGGTAGTTTGTAGGTGGGCAAGTAAGACTGTCCCATAGCGCAGCTGGTAATTGCTGTACAGAGGAAGCCTGAACGAACGTGGCCAGCGGAGGTTCGGATCCCGACGTGGAGGTCACACACTGGGTACACGCGTGTGCCCAAGATCCTATGGGGATGAAAACTGGAGGAAGGATTGCAGCGTGACCAGCCTGCACTGCGGAGTGCTTTCTCTCTCCGCCTCTCTCATTTGCTCATTTACTGAGTACCTATCATGCATAAGGCAGAAGATAAAGCAGACTTAGCTAAGTTCCTCCTGGCTACGTGACTTTCCCCAAGT